GCTGTGACGTATGCGGCCGACAAATTCGACCTTCGGAGGACCCGTCCTGCCGTTTTGGACACAGCCCTTGTATCTGAGGCAGGAAACATAGCCTTATATGGTGTTTTTGGGGTGGTAATTATGCTAATCTCCTCTCGCATGCACGAGCAGCTGGATATGAACAGGTGTAATTTACGCAGCTCATTTACTCACTTTTCCTGAAGATAGAAGAGCTTGTTGAATCTGACGTGACATGTTCGTACGAACCCTTTGTACGAACAAAAGTAAGAGAAATTTAGGAGAAGAATATGAACATGTTCTTGCATGAGGCCCAATGAAACAAAATGAGCACAAAGGAAATCCAATCCAAATATACATGTCACAGAGCTAAAGACGAGAATAACAAAAGAGAAAATAAAACATGATGCCAAATAAACACAAAGTACTAAAAGTAAGCAACAAACACTGGTCCTGGGATCTTCAGTTGACCTTGCCCTTCTTAGTAAATGTGATGACCAGACATTCAGTTGTCTACCATTAATGATTAATGATTTTTTTTTCTAGCACTTGCAGTGTTTTTGTTTCTGTCTGGCTATGAATTGAAGTTTGCAGTCTGGGAGTGATTAGACGCAGGTGTGTTGTTACCATGATGACCCTAATGATTCAACAACAGCAGTTTTAGCATTTCATTTGATGTTGGTTGTCTGTATACACCTTATAAAGATTATATATTAAAATACATGTATTTTGTCAGCTTGGATTACTACACAAACTCTTTAATTACAACTGAGATTTACAGAATGTTACAGCTGCACTGGTACCCTTCTGTTTTTCTTCACAAATGATCTAGTTTCATATAAAATGCAATATGAAACAATAATTATGAATTAGAGTTGATCAGTTCAGACCTTGGAGCCTGCTTACCAGATAATTAATCCAGTTCTTGTAGTTCTATTATTGATCAATTGGAAGTCAAACTCCACAGTCCACAATAGACCATGAACAGGCTACATTTCCATTTGGTGTCATTAACAGCACAACCCAGCAGTTGAGTGATTTTCTTTGAGGAAAAAAAAGAGAGCAAAAGGATCAGTGCAAATCGAAATGAAAATGAAGAAACAAAGTTGCTTAAAATCAGTTTTGGTTTCGCATTTAACCTAAAAGTAAAAGTTAAATGAAGGAAATGGGGCACGAAAGGCTTACAGAGAATTCACAAACTAGCATTTTGCACGAGTTTCTAAGAGTGTTTTTTTTTTGTTATTCAATATTTAAGCCTTTTTTAAAATACTGCTTCTGTTTGATGATTTCCTCTCTCTTGTATTGAGCTTTTAACCTGGTGTCAGCAGCGTCTCCTCCAGAAATGTGTAAATCTTACCCATAACTTACCCGTGAGAGATTAAGTTCATCAATAATGCACATAGTTGACTGAGTGAGCCAATTTACTAAAAAATAAATAAAAATAAAAATCACTCAGCCTCACTTCTACTTTCATTTTTGAAAGAAATAAGTAAAAATAAAATTGGGCTACAAGGGCTGTTAGTCCAATTACTGTTCTTCGTTAATCACAAAAAGTTGATTAATTAAAGTTTTTGTTTCTTGTTTCAAATTTACCCACATTAGTCCCACCCCCACCCGCACTGTTATTTCCTTTTGTCTTTTCAAACATTTTGTTTTAAAAGCTTAGCCTTAGGCAATTTATTTTATTTCACGAGTGCATGCTTTCAAGCTGAGGCAAGGATGCTTCTGATGAAACAGGTTCACACAAAACCTCTGAGTGGGCAACTTCAAAAAGATGGGAGTGTGATGTAAATACAGAGGTAAAATAGGTATTGAACACGTCACCATTTTTCTCAGTAAATATATTACTAGAGGTGCTAATGACATGAAATTTTCACCAGATGTTGGTAACAACCCAAG